GCGCATGGATGAGACGACACAGTTCGAACGGACCGCGTCCTCCAACTTACTGATTCAAGTTAACAAATGAGATTATCAATAACACACACATATATACACATATCTTTCTAACACGGTTACGATGTCAATCCACTGGTGCATGCCAGTCGTGCGCTGGCAAAAGTGGAGTCCTTTCGCGTCGTTTGTTTGATTTTATTCTGTTTGGAATAAGTCGCACATTAAATCGTTTATTTGTCCAGGAAAGCCTCGCAGAGGCTCGGAATTCCTCTGCGCAAGAGGGCGCCGCTTGGCCCGGTTGTTTTTGTGGTGGGAATCAAACCGAACCCGCTCCCGTGCCGTGCCCGCCTTAATAGGCGCTGCTCGCCAACAGCACTTGCCCCAACGGTCTGTTGAGGCTATACGGTGGGATCTTTGTCTTTGTGTCTGCGTGTTGTGTCTGTCCGTGCACGCCTCGACCATCCACCACCACAGAAAATCCAGTGAGAGCGAACAGTGTATTAAAGGCTATCGAGGGGGGGGGGGGGGCTTTGTCTTTGTTTTTTTGTTGGCTGTGCCTCTCGGGGTGGAGTGGTGGCGCTTTGGTTGGCGTACCGCGTGAGGAACTCGGTGAACCGAGTTCGATTCCCGGTGACGGTTAACATCGGCCGACTGAATGAATACCTGGGGGAAACAAAGACGGTTGGGGGAATCAAAGACGGATGGGCGTTAGCTAAAGGCACTTACATGTCTTGTGGTTGTGTGTGCAAACCAGTGCTGTATGTGCGTGCCTTCGTCTTCGTATCGGTAGTGTAGCGGGTAGCGCGCTGCTACGCTACGAACCCGGCGACCCGAGTTCGATTCCCGCTCACGGCCAACGCCAGTGACGGTGATCTGAACCGGTCCTGGGCTTCCCCTAGGTCCACTCGGCCCGAAAAAACGGGCACCTAGTGCGGCGTTTAAATATCAGCGCTTGAGAAGACAAAGGCGGCCGGGCGCGGTGCTGTCCACCCACCGTCTCGCGTGCTGTTCCGGCCTTCACAGAGTGCTGTTCGCCAACAGCACTCTGTTAAGGGGCCGTCCATAAATGACGTCACGCACCTAGGGGGGGGGGGGTCAGACATTTGTGACGATGTGTGTTGAGGGGGGGGGGGCGTTGAGAAATGTGACGTCACATCAAAACGCGCAACTTTAAATAAATATAGACAACACGTTCTACTTAATTAAATAGACTTTTTAATAAATGTTTTCTCCTACTACATCAGAGTGCAGCGCCACATTAAATACGCACTACAATGACAATAGTTTAAAGCGCTTTGAGGCATGTTTTATTTTGGGGGGGTGGGCAGAGCTTTGTGACGTCATTTTTGAGAGGGGGGGGTCTGACTTTGTGACGCCGTGTGACGAAAGGGGGGGGGGGGTCAAAAATCGTCCAAAATCGCGTGACGTCACTTATGGACGGCCCCTAAGGGCTAATAAGGGGGATCTTTGTCTTGTGTGCGTCTGTGTGTGTGTGGGTGTGTGTGTGGGTGTGTGTGTGTAGGTGTGTGTGGGTGTGTGTGGGTGTGTGTGTGGGTGTGTGTGGCTAAATCACAGCAAGTTGGCACAGTAAGGGGCACAGGTGGTGCATCAGCCAGTCATCTCAGTCATCTCGGTCATCTCAGTCAGTCGACCCGTGGCACCTGCTGGGTCTGCCCGGTGACCTCCTGCCAGCGGGCGTTCGACACTTCACGTGGCCTCAAGGTGCACATGGCCTGGCACAAGCGTCGTGGTGACGTCACCGCCACTTAGTGGCGAATGGCGGTTGTTGTTGTTGTTGTGTGGGTGTGTGTGTGGGTGTGTGGGTGTGGGTATGTGCGTCTGTGTGTGTGTGGGTGTGTGTGTGTGGGTGTGTGCGCCTGTGTGTGTGGGTGTGTGGGTGTGTGTGGGTATGTGCGTGTGTGTGTGTGGGTGGGTGTGTGCGTCTGTGTGTGTGTGGGTGTGTGTGTTGGTGTGTGGGTGTGTGTGTCTGTGTGTGGGTGTGTGTGTGGGTGTGTGTGTGGGTGTGTGTGTGTGTATGTGCGTCTGTGCGTGTGTGGGTGTGTGCGCACGTGTGACGAAACCGCAGCCGCGAAGTTCACCGTGCGATGTTTTGAATGAAACATCGCAGCGACCAGCAGGCACGCCACGGCATTCATCACCACCACCACCACACGCCCAGAGGCGACGGCAACGGCACGACCCCCACCCCCCCTCCCCCGTGTCGCCTGCGATGACTGCCCGGGTGGTAGTTGAAGTTTGTGTGGTCGTCACCGCGCCCGGACGCTTTTGTCTCGCGCAACTCACCAGGCACTCGTTTTTTTTAAGGCCGAGTCTACCTAGTGGAGAGTCTACCTAGCGGAGACTAGGTAAGACACTCTACTTGCAGTGCCGGATTATCCCAGTAGTACAAGTAGCTACAACACGTGTAGTAGCTACTACACGTGTTGTAGCTACTACACGTGTAACAGCTACACGTGTAATAGCTACACGTGTAGTAGCTACTACAATTCGGCAACAAAGATCCCCCGTTTCTATAACAATAGAGGTGTTACCCTTTCTGGCACTATAACACGAGTTGTGTTAAGATGTTACAACAACAAACTGAAACTTTTTGCAAAGGAATCATGTTCGCATTGACCACACGCGCGACTTTGTGGAAACTAACAAACAAACCGTGCCCCCCGTTTCGCCTTCGACAATTTGCGTTCACGGTCACGGCAATGTTTGCGCTTCAAGCTCAGACAACCATCCATCCTCGAGCGGCCCGTAACGCGCCGAGACGCGGGGAGGCGCGCAGTGGTACTCGTTTGAGGCCGAGTCGACCTAGGGGAGGCCCGGGAGTGGGTTTCATATGATCGCCGCTGTCGTCAGCGGGAACCGTCGAACTCATCTCGCCGGGTTCGTAGCGCAGTGCGCTAACCACTGCACCACAGATCCACATTACTCGCATACAATGATAAAGACCCCCGTATAGCCTGTAACAGACTGTTGGGGCAAGTGCTGTTAGCGAGTAGCACCTGTGAAGGCCGGCACGGCACACGAGGGCGAGAGTTGCCAGCACCTACGGACTTGCACACGCGAGCACGCACACACATTCACGCCGAGTGGCATGCTCCGAATCTATTGCTGTATACACAACGCCCGCAACGGCGTTGTGTATGCTACATATCACCCGAAACACATAGGCGATGTCTAAAGCTTTTAGACATCACTCTGGGAAATGTCGTTGATGTCACGGATGCTTCTCGTATCGTCACCACCAGCACCAGCACCATCACGACCACCGCCAAGCGAGCACACGCACGTTCACCCTTCTCAATATTATGACGTGTGCCCGTTGAGGCTGAGATTAACAATAAACAACGGGCAATGATTAACGTTGCCCAAAGTGTTGTAAGTTCTGTTCTGTCCTTGCGTATGCGGAGGTGCTGCTGCTGCTGCTAGCCACAACGAAAGGGATTCCGCAGAGAGAGACGGAGGGAGAGAGTTCGCGTCTTCTTGGTTCTTTCGGTAAAGTCACGTAGAAGGGAAGTAATACAATTATAAAAATAAAACATAATAAAATAATTCTCACGACGTTTCGGCCACAACGCAAGTAGCCTTCTTCTGGCCGAAACGTCGTGAGAATAATTTTATTATGTTTTCTTTTTATTATTTTATTACTTCCCTTCTACGTGACTTTACCGAAAGAACCAAGAAGATGAATCCCTGCAGTCACGAAAGCTTTAAATCGAGAGCTCGCGTCGTTTTGCTGATACTGCTCCTCCGTTGAACGAGCGCAGTGGTTTTACGATATGCGTCCATAGTTTGAGCGTTATGACCATAATCGCGTGTAACTCTGTGTATCTCACTGCATCGCGCGCTTTCAGATGCGCTTCTGCGGCCGTCTGGAACGCGCTTTCTTTCGATGTTAGGAAACCGCTGGGCGCTATGCACTTTTAAATCATCATCGAGATTGACAAACACATTTTCTCAGAATAGATTGTTGTGATTAGTTTTCTGTCCTTCCCACGCACCTCCGATTAGTTCGGTTGGCTACGTACGGTACGAAAGAAGTTCAACATACATATGTGCATTTATGCGTGTCTCTGGGTCTCTGTGGTCTTACTGGTGAATAATTTGGGTTCGCATGGCTGCAACCGCACGGCTGTAACTTGCGTCTTGAAGTTTCCATTCGTCAAGGAGATGTGAGCATCGGCCCGTTGATGTGCTGATGCCTACGCACTTGGAGTGGCGAATTATAGCAGAAACTAACCTCCCCCATTAACCACCGTGGCTAGATGTTAACTACCTCGCCTGGTATACAGGAGGTCGTGGGTTCGATCCCGACACTGACGCCTGCTGCTGTATATTTGGAGTTTGCGTGTCTCTCTCTCATCATCATCACGGTGGCTAGGAGATGTTAACTACCTCGCCTGGTCTACAGGAGGTCGTGGGTTCGATTCCAACCCTGACGCCTGCTGTATATTTGGAGTTTGCGTGTCTCTTCGCGCGTTCGCGTTAATGTTTCTCCGGGTCCACCGGTTGTTCCCTCCACACGCGTTTAGAGCATTCGGCTGCTATACATTTCCACGTGATTGAGCTGTCATTTGTGATAACCAGATCGCTTGTGAAAACGACCTACATCGCTCAGTGGACCTTACCAGGTAAAAATTAACCCGTAAAAACAAAGTTTTTCACTATAAATCCTTTATTTCGTGGCGGCTAGAGTCCTCTCGTCCTCTGGCTTGAGATGGCTGCCACCATTAAGCAATTGGTAATTAAATAAATTGTCACGCACAACGAGTCTGTGTGCAAAATGTTAGCTCGATTGGATCACGGGAAGTGGGTTAAAAAACGACCGAAAGATTTGCACGGTCGTAAGCAAGCAAGCAAGTGAACTTAATATAAAGGATTTAAAAATAAAAATAGCGAAGAACATTGTTGGATACCAAGTCCCGTGACTGACTGATCACCTCCCCCACCCCGTGCCCCCCCCCCTCCAACTTACCTCCCCACCACAGACAGACTCCTCTCTCCCATGACCCAGAGGAATTTCCCTCCGTCGTTCTGGAGCAGCAGCACTTACCACCACGGCACGGCCACCGCAGCAGGCATGACGCTGGGCGCTCACCCAGCAGACCTCGCATTCTCCCTGGAGCCCTACCCGGGCATGCACCACCACCCTCACCACCACCACCATCACCACCACCACCACCACCCGCACCACCCCCACCATCACCCGCACCACCACCCGCACCACCCGCACCACCCGCACCACCCGCACCACCACCTCGTGCAGCAGCAGCAGGAGGTGGCGGCTGCGTGGCATTACCCGCTGTCGAGCCAAGCCGGCGCGTACTCGCGAGGGGTGTCCGACCTCTACTCGGCCGGCGCTCATCCTTTTGACCCCGTCTACGGGCCTCTGCTGGTGCCGCCGCCGCTGCGGCCGGCGAGGCTGCCACCGTCCTTGGGTCCCGGGTGCGACCTCGGCAAAGCCTCGGAGAGCCCCGTGGGAGGCCCGTGGGGACAGGCAGGCTTCGCCGCTCACAGCCCCGTGGAGGTGGCGCAGAGTTTGAACGCGGAAGCCGGTGAGTGAGTGAGTGGCTTTTGGGACCGGCCGTAAATGACGTCACGCAGCTGGGGAAGGGGGGGGGGTTGTCAGATATTTGTGACGATGTGCCACGAGGGGGGGGTGGGGGTTGAGAAATGTGACGTCACATCAAAATGCGCAATTTTAAATAAATGTAGACAACACGTTCTGCTTCAATTTCGATTTAAAGCTTTCGTGACTGCAGGGATTCATCTTCTTGGTTCTTTCGGTAAAGTCACGTAGAATGGAAATAATAAAATAATGAAAATAAAACATTTCATTATGTTTTATTTTCATTATTTTAACATTTAATTATGTTTTATTTTTATTATTTTATTATTTCAACACGTTCTACTTAATTAAATAGACTTTTTAATAAATGTTTTCTCTCCTACAACATCAGAGTATTAAATACGCACTACAATGACAATAGTTTAAAGCGATTTGAAGCATGTTTTTTTTTTGGGGGGGGGAGCAGAGCTTTGTGACGTCATATTTGAGGGGGGGTCTGACTTTTTGTGACGCCGTGTGACGAAGGAGAGGGGGGGGGGGTCAAAAATCGTCCAAAATCGCGTGACGTCATTTATGGACGGCCCCTTTGCCGCTACAATCGCACGCGGATAACCAAACGTGTTAATGAAATATTAGTTATTATATTTACAAATAACAACAGGAACATTCTTTCATCTATCAGTTTCCTTAAAAGTTTCATACAAAGTTACAAAAGATTAAATGAAAAATATGGTGCGCTATGAATGAGGGTCATTGCCTGAAACGTCACATATTAGATATGTTAGATCACGTTTTTGATGAACGTGTTGAGTTGTTTTTGTTGCTTTGTTATTTGTGCTCGTGCACCACTGCCAACGCAGCCGTTGATGAATCACTGGATGTGAGAACCCAGCCCCAGAGCTTGCCTTGAATCGTTACCAATGGCTGCTGAATTTACGCGTTACCAGAAGGCCGTGCGTTCGGCTGATGGGATGTGTAAAGAAACACACTTGACTACAGGGATTCCTTCTTGATTTGAAGCTTTCGTGACTGCAAGAATCTATACTCTTTGGTTCTTTCGGTAAAGTCACATAGGTAGAAGAATAAAATACAACAAAAACCAATATCTTCTTGGTTCTTTCGGTAAAGTTACGTAGAAGGGAAATAATAAAATAATAAAAACAATACATAATAAAATAATTCTCACGACGTTTCGGCCACAACGCAAGCAGCCGTCCTCAGGTGAAGAACAGGTCTGTCTGGAAGACAGCGTCTGAATGGGCACCACCAGGCTTGACAGCGTATATTTAAGCTGGGTTGGAGGGGGGAAGGGGCGCCTTGACAAAACTAACATATCACGACGTTTCGATCGTCCTTAGGCGCAAAAAATAATCCAGCAGTGGAACTGCTGATATATTATTTTGTGTTTCATTTTATTCTTCTACCTACGTGACTTTACCGAAAGAACCAAAGAGTACAGGCATTCCTCTACTTACGAACGAGATAGGTTCCAGAGGTCTGTTCGTAAGTCGATTTGTTCGTAAGTCCAAATTTGCTCCCGTCGATTCCAAACATGTCCACTAAACACGGGGGAATGACATTCAATGTTGTATAATCTACTGGAGTTGAAGATGCCACTGGTTAACAACGCTTAATAATCCACCATTGGAACCTCCTTTGCCAGTAGCAAAATAGGATAATTGTTTTTTACCCATTTATCTGGCAACAAAACTGACACTTTTTTTTGCTTTGAGTTGTGCGCTTTTTGGAGTCATCTGGTCCAACACTATGTGAGACTAGGCTCGAAGAAAAGCTGTCTCGGGTATGGACCAATCAATTTCAAAGACAGTGCATACATTATTAGAGTTATGTTTTTTTTTGCATTCCGACCACAGGTATTGTGGCCAATGCAAACATGACTCCTTGTAAAAAAAGGTGTCAGTTTTGTTGCCAGATAAAAGGGTAAAAAAACAATTATCAACGCTTCATTTTGTCCACTTTGCTGTCCATCGCAATGCTGTGGACGGTTCATATGGAGACGCGGAGACGTGACGGAGACATCGCCTGCGTGTCTATCGTGTCAGCAATATCCTCCGCAACGAGACGGTTACGTTGAGTGAAATAATTCGAGACCTCTAACGGCGCGTGATGTGTGCGTCCGCGCACGCGGTGTCTCCACAGCTCGACGCTACGGGCTCTGTAGCTCGTCACTCATGAGCTGATGGTTCGGTTGACAAGCCTCAAGGATAGATGGCTACTGCTGACCCCCACCCCCGCAACCTCCCCGCAACAGGGACACAGATCCCCCGTGTAGCCTCCATAGACTGCTGGGGCAAGTACTGTGAACAAGCGCCCATTAAGGCCTGCACGCCGCACGAGGGGGTAGGTCTGCGTGACCGTGGACCCCCAAGTGCTGAAGTTTACACACCGCATCAACAGACGCCCATTTCTTCTTTTTTACTCTGAGTCGACCTAGAAGAGAACCCCCGTTTGCCCACAGCCCCGTTCAGATATCAAACGCCCGCTGTCGTTGGCTGTGATTGCCGAATCGGAATCGGGGGGGGGGGGGAGGGCGGGGGTGGCCGCCGGGGATTGTAACGCGGCGCGCTAACCGCTGCGCCACCGCTCCCCCATTAATTAATCAATTGATGTCTTGTTCAATTAATTCATGAATCCGATCGGCACGCGCACGCGGCGGGAGGGAAGGAGCCTGGCGCTCATGAAGACCACGCGGACGCCAGGAATGCCACATCACCCACCCCACTAACTTTGCCCATCTCATGCCACGTGGACAAACGCCAGTGGAGACGTGGCTGGCGGTCAATGAGAACAGCTTTGGGTAGCCCCATCCGCACGCGAGCCATAGCAGCAGCAGCAGATGATGATGATGATGATGACGACGACGCGGATACTGGATGTTGATGATGCACAGATGGAAAAGAAAAATATCCCGGCAGCGTGGGGAGACTATGGTTACTACCACACCCAGAACAGAACTTCGGAGCGTAGAACATGGACTCAATGCCCCCGATTCACAAATACGAAGGAGGAGGAGGCACCATCATCATCGTCACCGCACCTCCGATTAGCACGGTTGGCTACGCACGGTGTCAAAGAAGTTGAACGTACACGCAGCGGCGACGGTGAGCCCAGATCCTGGCTCCGCAACCATCTGGCTCATCAACCCAGCCGGGTGTAAACTCACAGCCGTCCACTATGGGGACCTCATTTGCCAGTAAAAATATGATAATTGGTTCTTTACCCTTCTATCTTTTGGCGTCATCTGGTCCAACCCATATGAGACTAGGCTCGAAGGAAAGCTGTCTCGGGTGTGGACCAATCAACTTCAGGGACAGTGCACATTATCAGAGTTATGTTCTTTTGTTTGTATTATGACTGCAGGTATTGCGGTCTATGCAAACATGACTCCTTGCAAAAAGGTGTCAGTTTTGTTGCCAGATAGAAGGGTAAAGAACCAATTATCACAACCGTCCGTTTCTACTCGCATTGCGTCGTCAACATCAGCCTGCCACGAGGAACCGGGGACCGCGTTCGTCTTCCTCCACGTGGTGGGCAAAACGCGCCGAGCCTGGGACCGCGGTTGGACCAGCGGCGTCCGTCTCCGCATACTCGGTGCTGCAGCTGCTGCGACATGGGTCCCGGGACCCTGGAACGTACATGCAGGGCAATATATGGTCTGTCCGTGGGCGGGGAAGGGGGGTGGGGGGAAGGGGGGGGGTTCAGCATTGTGGAATAAAAAGTCTGGACTCGGAGAAACGGATGACGCCGAGATGATGTGAGGTCACGTGACGCCGGGATGATGTGAGGTCACGTGACGGTGAGGATGATGTGAGGTCACGTGACGGTGGGGTGATGTGAGGTCACGTGACGGTGAGGATGATGTGAGGTCACGTGACAGTGACATGATGTGAAGTCACGTGACGGTGGGATGATGTGAAGTCACGTGACGGTGGGATGATGTGAGGTCACGTGACGGTGAGGATGATGTGAGGTCACGTGACGGTGAGGATGATGTGAGGTCACGTGACGGTGGGGTGATGTGAGGTCACGTGACGGTTAGGATGATGTGAGGTCACGTGACGGTGAGGATGATATGAGGTCACGTGACGGTGAGGATGATGTGAGGTCACGTGACGGTGTAATTACGTGAGGTCACGTGACGGTGGAATTACGTGAGGTCGCGTGACGGTGGGATGACGTGAGGTCACGTGACAGTGAGGATGACGTGAGGTCACGTGACGGTGATGATTATGTAAGGTCAGGTGACGGTAGGATGAGATGGTGCCCTATAACTTCGTTAAATGCGCGACTCTGACTCCAAGCCCCGGACTCGCTCCGTCTCACGAAGTCACGCGGCGCAGTTTTGTAAAAAAAAAAATTTTTTATTATAATGAAATTAACAAAACACACAAAACAAGCCTGCGGTGGAAAGAGCGAACGTGTTCACGCGTAAACGCAGCGCGAGGCACGGAACGAGGACACGGTGACCGACAGCATGAACACTTAGGGGACTGCTGCACTTGGAACGTGCCAGACCCACCACGAACCACGACGAGGGGGATCCGAGCACTCACGGATCTCCCCTTGGGTGATTTCTGACGCGTGATTGGGCGCCGCGGTGGCGAGATGTTAACTACCTCGCCTTGGTATACAGGAGGTCGTGGGTTCGATTCTGACCCTGACGGCTGCTGCTGTATATTTGGAGTTTGCGTGTCTCTCTCTCTCTCCGTGGTCGCTTGGATTTTTTTTTCTCCGGGTCCTCCGGTGTTTCCCTCCACATTTGGAATCAACACCACGCGTTTAGAGTATATTTGGCTGCTAGACATTTCCACGTGATCAGCCACTCCGTTGAGCTATCATCTGTGGCCAGGTCGCTTCTGCAAACGAAACGTGTCGTTCACCGGGACTTATCTGGTAGAATAAAATAAAAAATATCGGAATGTCCAACGTGCACGTACTCACTTCGCTGTAGCTTCTTGCAGGAACTGAATTTGGATGGAGGCAAAACCGTCGGACATCGTGCCGAACAACACACAGTAAACGAGAGAGTTCGTACAGCTAGCCGCAAACACCTCCACAAGCTGGTTCTGTCCGACTGGACATCTGTGAAAAAAGAGCTTTATAGCTCATCGGATTCCTCCTCCAGTATAAATAAATACTCTGATTCTGAAACAACCGAAGCTATACGTGAACGCTCTTGCGATTATGTAATTCTGATCTCCGACTTTTTTGTGCCTGCAAAGGCACTCACGCACAAAGACACACACAGACGCTTACACACAATCACTCACACACAGACACACGCACACGCTTACACACAGACACTCACACACGATTACACACGCTTACACACAGACACACGCAGACGCTTACACACAATCACTCACACACAGACACTCACGCACGTTTACACACAATCACTCGCAAGCAAAGACAAAGATCCCCCGTATAGCCTTAACAGGGGCAAGTGCTGTTAGCGAGCACCTATGAAGCCCGGCACAGCACACGAGGGGGTGGGTGATCGGCACCACGGGCGTTCGCCTTTGTTTCCCCAGTGGCGATGTTTACACACCGCACCAGGCACTCATTTGAGGTTGAGTCGACCTAGGGGAGGTCCAGGACCGGTTCAGATAATCGTCACTGGTGTTGACCGTGAGCGGGTAATCGATCCCGGGTCGTAGCGCAGCGCACAAACCGCGACACCACCGCTCCCATGAACAAACACAGACCCATCTTCTTGGTTCTTTCGGTAAAGTCACGTAGAAGGGAAGTAATAAAATAATAAAAATAAAACATAATAAAATAATTCTCACGACGTTTCGGCCACAACGCAAGCAGCCGTCCTCAGGTGAAGACCAGGTCTGTCAGACGCTCTCCCCTCGTGGAGTGTAGAGCACAGAGACTCAATGCTCCGCCGATTCATAAAATACGGAAGCATCATCATCATCGTCACAGCGACAATGATGCCACCACTCCCGCTACTGCTGACTCAGCGATCAGCTGCCTAATCAACCACGCCGACGTAGAACGCGACAGCTGTCGAAACCTCCATCGGCATCAGCAGCCGTAACGTCGAAGGCGACAATCAGCCACGCTCACAACCACGTGTTGTTCATTTACGCGCGCGTCGCCCGCGGTCTCTGCAACGCTTCGCGCGCGCGTGACCGGTGTAGCATGTGTCTTTGTTTGCATTGTCCGAATGATCTGAGCAACGCCGGGTTATTGTCTCGTCGCAAGAATCTCTCTGCCCGTCGAGACATTGAAGATGATGGAGGGGACGAGAGACAAACGCGTGCGGTGCGGGCCTGTGCACAGAGGGAGCCACGTGAGAGCACGTGGTATCAAATGTAATAAATGATGATGGTGATGATGATAAATGATGATGATAACACTGCTGCCATGTTTGTGGGGAAGGGTGGGAGCGGGGAGAGGGTGGAGGCGGGGAGTGATTTTTTTTTGTATAAAAGAGGAAAAATAAAAAAAATCCAGGTGGTTTGAATAAAACATCTGAGGGTTTGATGTTGATTATTGTTGTTAGTTTGTGTGATTTCTTTTCGTGACAAATGTAAGTGGGTATTCTGCGGACGATTTGCAAGATCGGAGGACAATTTTGTGCGCCAACTCTGTTTCATGCGAGCCCGCTGATCGAGTCCACGTGTTGGCAGACGAATTCTATTTTTTGTTGTTTATTGTATGCACGCATTGTAATACCTTCCCGTTTACCAGCCAGGCATATCACTATCTGTCATACGCCTGGGATTAACACTGCCGAAGAACACAGTGTGTATATGTACCATATCATACGCCGACGTTTCATTCATCGCATTGGCCAAACATGTCGGTGGAGCAGGACCCTCCTGAAAAAGCGTATCCTGAGACTCGGTGTGAAAAGATCCACCTCCCGTTCACAACCCCGCAGAGCCAGTGATGGGCATTCCACATTCATACGGCGGGAGCGAGTCTATACTCTGTAGGACAACCACTCTTCGCTTCCCAACAAAGCGGTAACAAATTTAACGACCCCGGACGGGATGATGATCTAAGTCAACCGTCCACTCCCCCCACCCCCACCCAGCATCTGATCTCACAACCTGCCGCTGAGAACGATTCGCTCGCTCTACCACCGATCCACCCCCCTCTCTCCACCACCCACAACCTCTCCCCGGCAGTATGAACGAGACGCGGACCCCCGCGATCAATGCTACGGACTCCCCCCAACCCCCAGAATCAACACGTGCGTCTCCAGCCGTGTTCCGTTGAATCCGCGTGAAGATCCGTGCCGTAAATCACCAACCCCGCAGTGACCCGAGCAAAGAGATGAATCGACCCCTCCGACCATCGTTGCCACGACGGCCGCTTTCGACTCTCACCGAGCCGCTCCGGGAGAGGGTCGGCAAAACGGCTCCACCACCAGACGGCAACGACGCGCGCTTGCGACGTCGAACAACGAGGGGTGCCTCAATTGTCCGACGTTTCGTCGTGTAGAAACATAAAAAATGTCACGCGCATAAAAAAAAAATGTTCGGGAGCGGCCCGGCAATTTTCTGCTGACGGTGTGTGTGATTATTATTGATTGCGTATGCCATGAAAAAGAGCCATTGCCCGAAACGTCGCCGATTACGTTTGATTTACGAATAATAATCATCGTCATCATTATTTCATTTTCTAGCGAGACCCAGATCAGAACAATTAGAAACTTAACCATCAAGCTCACGAGCGCTTTCATTTTTTTTGTTCACATTTAGGAATTCCTTCACCACATTTCTGTGGGTTGGGGGGCGGAGGGGGGGGGGAAGTGAGGGGAGGGGGGCACAGTATTGTTGTAAGTCTTCGCGTAATGTGTTCTGGAGAAAGAAAAAAAAACCTTCCATTTACTCAATTCAGATCTCGTGCACTTTCGTTCAGAAATGCCCACAGCACGGTTGGCTACGTACGGTGCGAAAGAAGTTCCACATACATACGCAAAAAAACAAAGATCACCCCATATAGCCTGAACAGACTGTAGGGGCAAGTGCTATTAACGAGTGCCTATGAAGGCCGGCACGGCACACGTGGGAGTGGGTGGTCAGTACCACACCCGGCCGCCTTTGTCTCCCCAGCGGCGATTGACACACACCGCACCAGGTGCCCATTTGAGGCTGAGTCGACCTAGGGGAGGCCCTGGTGTTGGCCGTGAGCGGGAATCAAACTCGGGTCGCCAGGTTCGTAGCGCAATGCGCTAACCGCTACACTACCGCTCCCCAAACAAAGATCCCCCGTGTAGCCTTAACAGACTGTAGGGGCAAGTGCTGTTAGCGAGCAACTATGAAGGCTGGAACGGTACACGAGGGGGTAGGTGGCCAGCGCCACGCCCGACCGCCTTTGTCTCCCTATCGGCGATGTTTACATACCGCACCAGGTACTCATTTGAGGCTGAGTCGACCTAGGGGAGGCCCAGGACCGGTTCAGATAATCGTCACTGGTGTTTGCCGTGGGCGGGAATCGAACTCGGGTCGCCAGGTTCGTAGCGCAATACGCTAACCGTTACACTACCGCTCCCCATACATACACACACACACAGACATACAAAGGCACGCACACACACACACGTACACTCCGAAAGACCTCGAACGGCTGTCAATGGACTTCAAAGAGCAGCAGACTGTGCACGCTGTGGGGTTATGAAGTTTCGTGGACGAAGCCAGGAGTTGTCAGTTCAATTGCGTACCCTCCACCCCCAACACCCCCCACCCTACCCTACCCCCATCGTAATAAAATACACAAATACATTGGTGGTGCTGCTGCTGATGCTGCTACGTTCGCAGGGGTGCGCGAATACAGCCAACGATGTGAACACATTCGCCACGAACAAAACTCATCACCGACATCTCGGCCCCTGTCATTCCTTCTCGCCCTACCGCCTCCCCCATCCTGCACCACCGCTCCCCCATCCTGCCCCCCCTTCTGATCCTCCTGCTGCCCCCTTCTCTCTCCCTGCTGCTCATCTTGAGCCCCCCCCCCCCCTGTCCTCCTCCTGGCTCGCCATCGAACGGCGCTTTCTGATGTGCTGCTTCTGCGGCCGTCTGGAACGCTCTTGCCTCATTCCGATATTAGTAAGCCACTGGGGAGCTTCGCACTTTAAAATCATAGAGATTGACCAACTAATTTTTTTAGTGTTTTGTGCTTTAGTTTGCTGTCCTTCCGCCGCACCTCCGATTAGCGCAGTTGGATACGTACGGCGCGAAGAAAGGTTCAACAGAAATACAACAAAAATACAACACACATGCAACACACATACATACATACAACCCACATACACCACACATACATATAATAAGCATCCAACACATATACACACAACATACACCCGACACATACACACAGCATACACACAGAACACATACACACAACATACATACAACACACAAACATACAACACACATACAACACACATACAACACAAATACATACATACAACCCACATACAACACACATACATATAATAAGCATCCAACACATATACACACAACATACACACAGCACACATACACACAACATACACACAGAACACATACACACAACATACATGCAACACACATACATACAACACACATAAAACGCACATACATACAATGTACATCCAACACATATACACACAACATACATACACACATATGTACAACACGCATACAATATACATATTGCTGCCCCCCCCACCCCCCCACATCTGCTGCCCGTAATAGCGACCGACCCTACTGCTCTTATCACCGTGTCGTGCTTTACGGCTGGCGCAGATTTTATTTTTTACAATTATAATATTTCCGTATGAGATTACAATTGGATTATTTCCCGTTATAAACGTGGGCGGCTAAATGTGCTATTGTTGGTGTTACCCTGTCGATGCCTTTAACCCCTCTACGAATGTTTATACATCTGGACCTTTCTAGAGATTCATATTCTCGGCTGGCGTTTGCAGTGTTATCGCTCGCCTAAAGGCAGTCGACAGAGAACGAACACAAAGTCTGTTTTATAAATTACTCGATACAAAGTAGTTTATATTCATATCACGTGACCAAAACTACCAATATATTTTAGAATCAGAACACATTCATTCGTGCCGGTGGAACCCGATTAGCATCAAAGCTCTTTTTTTAACAGATGTCCGGTAATCAAAACCTTGTACAACTATAATATTTAATTAACCGGCAACCACTGGACGCACATTTATTGCATTCACAGCGCGCGCTCTGTGTGAGCGAGCGTGAGTGAGCGTGTGTTTTGACGTTTTTTTTTAATGAGCGCTCGCCCTCTGACATTACCTACTCCGAGCGTTTCATGTGCAGTAATAACCACGCCGTCACTTACTCCCGAACCTGTTTGCGCTACGTCAACTATCAGACTCGTTCACTGACAGCGCCACGACACAGCTACCCACCCCCTCAATCCCCCATCCTCCTTCCCTCCCGGCTTTCCTCCCTACCCCCACACCCCCTTCTCCTCGCTGGAAATGACCAAGAAAAAAAAATTGGGGGCTAAATGGGAGGCGTAGCAACCCGAGACGAGAGGATTTCCGCGCGCGCAAGCTGATTCAATCATTTCCCGGTTGCGTCCGTCTCATCCATCAGCCGACAAAAAGTGGCCAATCAAGCGGAGCTCAAGTCGGTCACTCCTTGTGTAGAGAAGAGGAAGGAGGAGGAGGAGATGGTGGATGATGATGATGATGATATGGAAGAGGTAAGCGAGCGGGAGCCTTCTTTCGAACGTCCCGTTCTCAGGACTTTTTGAGGTCCTCTGCCGATTTTATACTTTACATTTTTGACACTGCCATGAATGGTGAAAAAGTATACGACGGGCGACGTTTCGGGCAACTGCCCTTCTTCATAGCACGTGGCGATACTGTGCCACGTGACGAGGGTTTCAGGAGAGCCCCCGGAGGCTGAGCGATGATCGGAATGCGTAAACTTTACGCAGCAAATGCTCGCAAACATTTCGCGGTGGCGAGGAGATGCCATTTCATTCGGGGCCGTGGGTTCGATCCCGGACCCTGGCGATTGTCCTGTTGTTGTATATTTGGAGCCAGCGTGTTCTCTCTCTCTCCCCGTGGGGGTCCCAGCGTGGATTATTCTCCGGGTTCCTCCTCCGGGTTTGCCCTCCTTCCTCCAAGTGGAGAAGCAAAATGCCAACGTCTGATTCAAGAAAACCTGGCCCTGCTGATGAGGTAGTGAATGTCAGCTGTTTATAAACCCCTTAATTTTGTTACACAATAAGACACGCACGCACGCACACCGCTAGATGTTAATAAAGGCCGGCACGGCACACGAGAAGGGGTGGGTGGTCAGAACCACGCCCGACCGCCTTTGTCTCCCTAGAGCGGCGATGTTTTACACACCGCACCCGGTACTCATTTTATTCCGAGTCGACCTAGCTGGAGGTCCAGAACCGACTCAAGAGAATCCTCGCTGCGTTGGCCGTGAGCGGGAATCGAATCCACGTCGCCAGGTTCATAGCTCAGCGCGCTAACCACTACACCGATGCTCCACACTACAGACACGCACACACACAATCAACCAATGCTGTGCTTAGCCTAATATTCGGAAAATGTGACTGGTGTTTGAAAAGCGTAACCTGACCCTGGCGAGCGAGCGTGCATGTTTAATAGAGTTCACAGTTGATCTTCAAGTCGGCCAGGTTTACGTTCCACGGGATGGGGGATGATTCCATGGTGCAACGTGCCCACGCTGAACTTCTTTCGCACCGTACGTCACCAACCGTGCTAATCGCAAGTGCATCGCACCCAATCACCGCCGACCCTAACCCTCACACAAGCGGCATGGTCAGGGACTTGCAATCTGTATATCGCCTGTTCGATCTCCCGGCGCGGTAGGCGAGACACTGCACACGTTTCGTAAATCCCCTCCACCCCAAACTTAATTTGGAGCTTTCGTGACTGCAGGAATTACTCTTTGGTTCTTTCGGTAAAGTCACGTGTAAAGAGAAAATAATAAATTAAATACCAGCATACGACGTTTCGATTGCAGCACAAGCAATCATCATCAGGTATAAATGAAATAGAAACACA